TGGAATGGTGGATAGGGTTGACGACAAGGCGTGGAATGGTGGATAGGTGGACGACAAGGCGGTTGATCGGGTTGACGACAAGGCGGAATGGCGTGGAATGGTTGATCGGTGACGACAAGGCGTGGAATGGTTGATAGGCGCGTGGAATGGTGGATAGGTGACGACAAGGGGAATGGTGGATAGGTGGACGACAAGGCGTGGAATGGTTGATAGGGTGGACGACAAGGCGTGGAATGGTGGATAGGGTTGACGACAAGGCGTGGAATGGTGGATAGGGTGGACGACAAGGCTTGGAATGGTTGATAGGGTGGACGACAAGGCGTGGAATGGTGGATAGGGTTGACGACAAGGCGTGGAATGGTGGATAGGTGGACGACAAGGCTTGGAATGGTTGATAGGTGGACGACAATGGAATGGTGGACGACAAGGCGTGGAATGGTTGATAGGGTGGACGACAAGGCGTGGAATGGTTGATAGGGTGGACGACAAGGCGTGGAATGGTGGATAGGTGGACGACAAGGCGTGGAATGGTGGATAGGTGGACGACAAGGCGTGGAATGGTTGATAGGGTGGACGACAAGGCGTGGAATGGTGGATAGGGTTGACGACAAGGCGTGGAATGGTGGATAGGGTGGACGACAAGGCGTGGAATGGTTGATCGGGTTGACGACAAGGCGTGGAATGGTGGATAGGGTGGACGACAAGGCGTGGAATGGTTGCTAGAGTAGAGCACAAGGCGTGGAGTGATGATCGTTTAAATCCTTGAATACGATGACTTATCCTTTTGATATACGATGAGTTGAGTACGATCACTTCAACCTTTGAGTATGATGATCACTTAAACTCTAGAGTATGATGGTTGGTTACTTAAGCCCCTGAGTACAATGTCATCATCGTACTGAAGGAAATAAACTTATCGTACTCATTGGATTAAGACGACATCATATTCAGATAGATCGCATTATTATTCAAAACTGTTTTATTACTATTAATATGGATGAACAGAAACAATAAGATTATTGTTAGTATACATAGAATTAGTGTAGCCGTTATTTTCTCCCGTGAATAGGTTTCGTACTTGAATTATCAGTGGTACTTTATACAGCTGCGTCTAACTAAAAACCCAAAGTGCCATCTGGAGCTCTCCTTGGTGTTGTGATAATGGAGGCACACTGTTTCACCTTCCTTTCCAGCCATAATGTGCCGCTGAGAGCAATTCTTGCCGTGGGGCAGTTTGTTATTAGGTTACAGCATCAGCCACCTCCGTACACAACATGTAAGAGGTTTTTTCTGTTTCAACTTGTGGCCTTCCCAAGTGTTACTCGAAGCTCTTTAACTTTCTGACATCTACTATTATTCCTGGATCTTGGTACACCTTCACAATGTCTTCACTTTATTTAAACAGACTTCCAAGGAGCGTCTATATTACCTTCACCTCCTCCCACCCAAAAAAAACCTCTTACGCAACGGAGGATAAAAAGAACTTTACTTTTCCCAGGAGAACTTCCATTATGTGTAAGAAGCCTGGGATGATAGCTCCTAATAGTTTACCCGAGGAACACAGTTGGTACCAGGCAGTATGGATACAGCACACTGTACTATAGACTAGACCCCACCTCTCTTCAGTACACAAGACGAAACAAGTATTGTACCCACGTGATCACCTCATCCACTTGATAATGGAATTGGAATAAGTACCCGAATTCCCTCTTGCATTCGTACACCACCGTCTTGAGAGTGACAGGGACACGTCTTAGAGCAAGGAGGAATATGTCTGTGTCGAGCTTAAAAAGAGTAAAGATAAACCCAAATAAATTAAAGAGAGAATAATGATGGAAACAGAAGTAATATTTCAAGGACAAATTGCTTGAAGGCGGGGGAGTGGCAGCCAAATTTATCACCATGGTAAGTACTAGGGGAGGTCGGGGAAGGTCGGTGGAGGTCGGGGGAGGTCGGTGGAGGTCGGGGGTGGTCAGGTCAGGAGGTCAGGGGTGGTCGGGGAAGGTCGGTGGAGGTCGGGGAGGTCGGTGGAGGAGAAAGAGGAGGAGGAGGAGGAGGAGGAGAACCAGAATATGAAATCAATATGTGAGAATAATACCACGATAAGCAAAGCATTTAGGTAAACAGCATCACAAAGATATACTGAATAATAATTACTATCTAAAACAACTAACAAAGAACACACCTGGAATCCAGAAATCAATTAACGTAGTGCCAGGTGTTCCTAACTTCAACGAGTGGCAATAAAATGATAAAACTCTCACATTTACCTAAGACATTGATACATACACATACGTCATTTTATTCACTGACATGAGAAAAAGAATTCGAGATAGTACACAACTGAGAGAGAGAGAGATGAATGTTATTGTACCGTTATAAACATCGTGGGAATATAGGAAATCTGATCCACAAGCAACGAAGAAGTACCTCAGAGACGGATTTAGCTGGTGTGGGGGTGTGAAGAAGATGTGAAGGGAGGTGCAAGGTATGTGGACTTTAAAGAGATGTGTATTTGGGGTATGTGTGGTTGGGGTGTGTTGTTGGGGGTAGTGTGTTGCTGGAGTGTGTGTAGTTGGGGTGTGTTTGGCTGGAGTACCTTTGGCTGAGGTTAGTTTGGTTGGGGTTTGTGAGGGGTAGAGTAGAAGGGAAGAGAGAGAGAGAGAGAGGGGAAGGAAGGGGAGAGGAAGGAAGGGGAGAGGAGGGAAGGGAGGAAGAGGAGAGAAGGGGTAGGAGTGGAAGGAAGGAGAAGGGGGGGGGCAAGGCTAAGCAACACCCGGCTCCCCCCTCAGGCGCCGCCACTCAAGCTGAGGCCAACATCCTGACTGACCTCACCAGCACATGTTATATTAATATTACATGTAGCCCAGGAAAGCCTCAGGGGGGATGGGAGGTGTGTCAAGATTTTTTATATTAATTTCGTTCCTGTGCGTCTTGGAAACGACCCACAGGAGAACAACACAACCTATGACTCGTGGAAAGACGATAATCATCTTATGTTTCAGTTTAATCTCTGAATTCAAAACATAATAACGAATATCATTTCTTTGTAGTATTAGATGGTCGTGTGTGGTCTTGAGTACACCTTTGCTATGAAGTATTGTCTGGATCCCACGAGATAAGATCATCAGATGACCAACAACTGGATGGATGGATGGATGAAACTGTGAGGTCTGGTCACAAACAAGTCTATCTATCTATCTATCTATCTATCTATATATCTACCTGTCTATCTCTCTATCTATCTATCTGTCTATCTATCTGTCTATCTATCTATCTGTCTGTCTGTCTGTCCACACCATGAAAAGACTCACGAATTGGCTGACCCTGGGTGGCTCAACCGAGAGAGAAATTGTGACACAACAGCCTAGCACGAGCGTGGGGGGCAGGGGGGGGGGGGATGGAAAGGCCTCAGCTGCAGTAAACGATGGCCGACCAATTGAAACTTGCAGCCTTCATCCCACGTTTGATTAATGAAGAGCTCGGCGCTGTATCGTTGTGACCACTGATCTTGACTACAAATCAACCTGTGCCTGGTGAGCCCCTGGATCTAGCTCTTGTTGTCCAGGTGAGAAATGAATAAAAAAAAATTAATTGAATTTGCCGTGATTCTCGACGCTTGTTAGTGCCAAGAGATGAGGGAATGACTGAGTTCGTATCGAGGAATCTTTTCTGGCCGTTATAAATGACAATGAAGCATCGTCAGAGCCACAGACTTATAAACGAGTCATGAAGGAAATAAATAAAACATGATTGTGTTGATAGGCTGTGTCACTGATGGAAATAGCCTAAATAAAGATAAATAGGCCTATTTTCTTTATTAAACCAGGTATGAGTGAAGGATGAAGTTTGTTGTGTGAAACGATAGGTGTGGAGAAGTTTATGTATTTGAAGACTTGCTACAGAAGCTGACCACGAAAACAGAATATATCTTTTATAACAGTAAGAGTAAGAGTAGTAGCTGTTAATGGAAGATAATCTCTTTTTTTTGAGACGGGGGGGGTGATTTCCACACGTGAACGAAATAATATAAAGACTAGGAACGAAACATTGTAGAAAATAGGAACGGAAAAGTATAGAAACACGGAACAAAACATTATAAAAACTAGGAACGAAACATTACAGAAACTAGGAAATAGGTTGTCTCATCCAGCAGGTCACCTTCTCAACACACACCTGTAGTAATTAAAGAAGGTAAACAGAGAACTACTCATCCTCTTAAAGTTCTTGTAAGGAGCCATTGGTCTTTCAGATATTTCTTCTCGTATAAAACATTTATTTTTTCCCATTTGTAAGTTTCCTTTAAATTTATAAACACAGAAGCACGAGCACAAACTATATCATGTAAATTTTTCTCTCTCTCTCATTGTCTATCTATCTAGTTTGCATAAGGTATCATTATTGGGAACGTCATTTTTATTTTACAAATCAGTTTATGGAAGCTTAGGTTCTGCACCAACATTTTTATTGACGAAAATTCCTGGATTTCCGAAAAAAGAAAATAAAACTGAAAGAATATTGTATGATAGGACACTGAGGATGGAAGTTAAGGTTTAAAAAAAAGTGTGAATTTTATGAGAGAGAGAGAGAGAGAGAGAGAGAGAGAGAGAGAGAGAGAGAGAGAGAGAGAGAGAGCTTCCCTCGTATATAGTGAACATTGTACCCCCAGGCCAGCAGCTGTAACACTGACGAGTTTTACAATTTATTATCAGGAAGGGAGGAGAAAGTCTGGACTCTCCAGTGTTTTTACTCCTAGCAATACTTAAAGAATACAATTTATGGTAATAACTCGAAAAAAATAAATAAATAAATAAAATAAAATATAGTATAAAACGCTTAAACTCCAGAACAGTCTCGCTCTCCACAAAGAACAACGATTAATCATTGAGGGGTAAAAAAAAAAGGGCTGTGGTCATGTCTAAGGGCTGGTGTGGATAGTGATGGCTGGGCGGGCTAGCTGGCAGGGCAGGGAGCGGCTGGTGGGCTCAGTCAGTCTGCTATGAGCAGTTGTGTTGTGTGGAGAGTGGCGGTGTTCCTCAGCGCTGTGCTCCCGCCGTGGCAGGACATCACGCAAACTGTATTAGTAATGAGATAATTTGGACCACATATAGAACTGTGGGCCGATCATCTTATTAGATCATTCTTTTTATGGCGAGAGCGTGACGTGTTGCTGGTTTATTAATGATAATAACACCGAGGTGACTAATTAAACAAGAAAATAAACTGTGCGGTTATTTTTATTTTTTGTTTACATATTTTTTTGTCAATACATCTTATTGTCTTAGCACAAATTTACTGTGTGGGTCCAGCAGTGTACCGGGGCCGGGTCTTCATCACACAACTGTGGTCAACTGTCTGGTATTTCATGTTTCACAACTACCATCATCAATAAATGTTGGTAAAATATTCATACGCTAAAGTGTCGGGATGGTTTTCTTTCCTTTTCTTCCTTTTTGTGTGTTTGTTGAGGTTTTCTTCTGATGGTCTGTGGCTGATGACTTACTGAGAGGTGTTTTGTTTAAGTTATAATGCTGATCCACCTGATCCACCTAAGGGTTGTTCCACCACCATTCAGCATCTAGTGGGTTACTCCACTACCTTGGCAGGATGCTAGTTCATTAACTGTTGAGTACGCAAATTGCTGGTGTACAAGTAGGGACCCTAATCCTTTATTTCGGTCCACATTCGAACGCAAAATCCGTCAACGAGAGGAACACTTTATCAACAGAGCGACTCAACCAGCTGGGGTACTGCTGTCAACCCTCCTACCAGCTGGCTCCTGGTGGACACTCACACCAGCTTAATAGGACACATCCCTTTCCCAGCTGGTTAGGAGTACACATCCACCTGCCAACTGGTGCAAACTTAACTACCAGCTATTCACTGATGCAAGTATTCCCGTCAGAGGTTTACTTACATTAAAGTATTCTACCACATGTTACATTCTAGAGCATTTGACAGCTGGATACTGATGTAAACTATCCTGCCGGTCTATAATGCGTGTGAACCTCTGACCAAACTGAGTACAAATCATTCTATCTTCCCATTATTGGTGTAAACGTAATGAGTATATACTAGTTTAAACCAACCTATCACGTTACTATTAGTTTAAACCTATCATATTTTCCGTCCATGGTTGAACCTAACTCTCATTTCACCCCCCCCCTTGAATAAACCCATTCTGAGTTTACCTTGGTGTAAACTCAGCTACTGTTTTGATCATCATGTAAACTCATTATTAAGTTCAAATTGTAAAAAAGTTAATAATGTGTAGCTTCTTATTGATATTAACAAGAATTTCAGTTTTGTATTGGTGTAAACTTACCTGTATAGCGATGTAAACCCAACTATTAATTTTATATTAGTTTAAACCTAATTCCCTCAGGTTTACATTGTGTTTCCTATTCTTTTTAATGCAAAATTCCCCATTAAGTTTACATTTTACATTTATATTATTATTTGTTCTTTTTGAGGATAATTTAACAAGTTTACACTAAAAAATTTTCTTTAGGTTTGACTGAAGTTCACATCAGTTATATTCTTTCACTAAAAGTTTACACTACAGTTCCTCATTATCTGGTAAACCTAAAGTATACATTAATTAATATTTAGAAAAGATTCCCCTAGGGTTTACATAACTGATCAGTTTACACTCAACAATTACATAAACTGAAGAAAATATTCCTCTCAGTCAGACGATAATGTAAGGCTGAACTTGAGTGAGTTAAGAGCTGAGGTTTGTCACGTATGCCGTATGGTGGGTTGTCGCTTCCCATATTAATAGCCAGAGTTGATGATACATGCAATAGCCACAATAACAAATAGGAAAGGTCCATTTATATGCAAAAGCTTGTTAAAAAGTAATAATTGACGAATTGCACACGAGTGATGGTGGTTCATCAATCGAGAGAGGCGGACACGTATTTGTGATGTTATTCGGGAAAACTGAGTGTTGCCAGAACGTTAAAAAACAAAAGAATGACAGGAATAATACTGATGGTATTGTATTTATATTATGTTAAACTAGTAAGTGGTGTAGCTATGTAGTGAGGGTAATACTGATAACGTCAAAACAACTGAAGGAATATTATCCACCTGTGATATGAATTTTTTTACCTGGATTGAAATTACCCGGTTATGAAATAGAATAAATAATAAAAAATACGTATTGTGATGTCAAGAGTTCTGGGGAAACGAAGAGAAGTTCATTGATGAGAAAGTAAGTAGGAGTTTAGTGAAGGGAATAATTTGATGTTATGATAGTGAACTTGTGAGGGGGTGCTGTGTTGACGTTTTATGATGTCTTCTTTAGATGTATTATTATTATCATTATTATTATTATTATTATTATTATTATTATTATTATTATTATTATTATTATCATTTACGAACTAAACTGAACAACACTTTACTTAATATGGAATTAACTATCAGAGTTACACAACAACGGATAACAATTAATCAAACTAGCGAGTAATTAGTTGGGTACTATTGTAAACCAACCTGGCAGATGGGATAAACTCCTCCAGGGTAAACTGAACCTTGTGTATACCTTCCTTCCCATCCGTGATAATGTAAACTCATATTTCAGCTGGTTATTGACTTAACTCCACCTGCGTGATAGTATATTTTCAACCAGCTGTTTATTATAATTATCGTTACAGTTGGTTATTGATATAATGTCTTGTACCATCTGTTTATTAGTTTAATTTCATGTACCAGCTTTTTCTTGGGTTAAATTCTTAGAAAAGCTGGTATTTGGTAATTATTTAACCAGCTGTTGGTTTTCAATTATGTACCAGCTAAATAATGCAACAGTGTATAATATGAGTCATATACGAGGTGATTATATTTTACACAATCTGTTTCAATGTACAATGTAATTAACCTTTTCAGTATAATGAAAAGATCCCGTGAGGACGATGTCTTGACCCTTTCCATACCATGATTAATTCCCGTGGATAAGTCATCATACTCAAGGGATAAGTCATCAAACTCAAGGGATAAGTCATCATACTCAGGGATAAGTCATCATACTCAAGGGATAAGTCATCATACTCAAGGGATAAGTCATCATACTCACGGGATAAGTCATCATACTCAAGGGATAAGTCATCATACTCAAGGGATAAGTCATCATACTCAAGGGACCACTCATCGTACTCAAAAGATATCATTGTACTCAAGGGCCTGTTCATTGATATAATTACTTGAACCGATAACTCATATCAAAATTATTCCAACAAGTAACTTGGTATCAGCTGCTTCATTAAATATAATACCATTTTTGTTTTGTTTACTAGTATAATTAACTTATTTATATAATTAATCATACAAATCCATCATTAGTGTATACCTTTCTGTCGGGTGTTCTTGGACGTAAATAAACTAGTCCAAATTGTGTGTGTGTGCGTAAATACCTGAGTAAATATTTATACTGGATTAATTGGGAGATTCTAAAAGGCATTTCAGTATCAAATAAACCCGTAAAACTCTCTCACTTCGCCTGGTCAGAGGGACACCACACACACACACACACACACACGCACACACACACACACACACACACACACACACACACACACACGGTGGCCATTCACATCAAACTTTAAACCAATTGGGGATTGATTAAGAATAAATATGATACTAATTAGATATTTGAATTCGAAAAAGCTTTGGTTATATTTTTTTCAATGGTGAGGGATGCCATCTGCCAGCTGGGTATGTTATTTAGCCATCTGTCAGCCGGGTATGGTACTGACCCATCTGGAGCCGGGTTAATGAAATACACCCACTTGCCAGCTTTAAGGTGAAAACAGTCAGGTGGTTATAACACTTGGCCGCAGGTGGTGCAGGGAGAGAGGCACCAACCACAAGGGCCGGGTAGCCAATAACGTGCCGCCTTTTAGAGCCCCAGGAAGCAGTGGGCAGTTTGATGACAGCTGTAATACATTCCTCTCTAACGTGCAGGACTTAATGTTACTGTTGCTGCTGGTTGTTGTTGTGGTTGTAAACTTGAGGTGGAACATAAACTGATGGATATTTCTCCCTGGTGTGTGGGACTTGTTGATGTTGTGGTTGTTGTTGTAAGCTTGAGGTGAAATGGATTCTCAGTTGAACATTAAGTGATGGTCTTGTAGTGTGTGTGTTGACTGTGAAGTAGACCAGTGCCTCTAAGATGGACATTATTTCCACGCACGAGTTTTATATCTACCTGAAAGCTGTAATGGTAAAAATCCGATTCTTCAAGACTTGGGAGACGTGTCACGCTCCCAGACTCTTTATGCACGGTGTCAGTAGCAGGCAAGATGACGCCGTGCTTCTGAGGTGAACATTGTCATATATAAAAATTTTACTTGTGATTTCTATTAACTTATTCATTCAACGTAAAATATTTTGATTTTCTGAGTGTTTTTTTTCAGTGGTAAATGAATCTTACGGAAGGACACATCAACTACGCTTGAAATATCAAAAACGTATTCAATAAACCCAGAGTCGCGAAGAAAAGTGAAAAAAAAAGAGACAATGAAATCAGACTTTCCGTTTTCAAATTTGCTGCGCATTTCACCTCACCTTTAAGAGACAATGGACGAATGATTCCCAAGAGAACGATTACATAGCAGTTGAGAGCTGGTGAGAAGAAAAAGAGGAGACGATCATTGAGAGAGAAAGAGAGAGGGAAGCAATCGGTGACACCTGGAGGAGCACACAGTCAGTTGGTGTCGTCGGTGGGGACAAGACTGGGAAGATGGGCGGCCATGGTGCTGCTGGTCCCCTCACCACTACCACCTTCATCCTCGCCTGCTGCCTCGCCGTCCTCTCTGGTAAGTTCTTTTTCTATAGTTATAAGTCTCACGGGGTGCGTTAACTGTTACCACCCACTGTGTTAAGTGACTGTGTCTGTGTCTTAGAGCTGTGGCACAGGGTGGGTTAACAATGGTCATTCTCTGTGGTGCAGTACTGCAATTGTGTCATAGAGTAGATTAATCTGGTCATACTTTGTGGTATAACACTTCATCTGTGTCATAGAGGTTTAACTATGACCATCTACTGTAGTAACTGTCCTGCAGCTGCGTCACAGACTGGGTTAAAGACACTACAGCTCTGAAATGTCAACCTGTGAAACACAAAATCGACGCCGTGGTCAGTCAAGGCTGAACGGGTCTTACTATCTGTGTCGTGAGCTGAGCCAGACACTCTTTATTATGCTAAACCCCAGGACGAGGCTAACCATCTCGCTGAGGAATGTTACCTTACAAGATTGCAAGAGACCACCTGAAGGATGGTGGGTAATTTACATATTTATTCCATAGACGAAGACCTCACAGAGGTTTCTTACATGTAGTCAGAATTACCGCGAAAGATTTACCCATTTTATTTTTGAAATCTGTTTTTACTCCCAGACGAATTATGTAGGTCATAGCATCTACAACTACAGTTCTTCCATACATCTTCCTGCTCCGACAAACAGAGACCTGAGGTAACCAGAAGCTGTAGGTGTTTATTGTAAACCAAGTGGGGAATGATCAAATGGATTTATAGATACAGTATAATGAAAGAACTTTAAGTTCTGTATCCTTTAAAAGTTCTGTTTCTTCTCATCTTATCTGAACATTAGCTGAGAGACTTCATAATTTTTCACTTGGGTATAACTATTATAGGTTAAGTTTGCCTCTAATATTTCCTCATATTATATATATATATATATATATATATATATATATATATATATATATATATATATATATATATATATATATAAACACACACGAAATACACACACACACACAAACATGTACGTTCTAAAAACAGTATCGTGTGAACTCTGAACCCTGACATTACCTCTTAACACACACACACACACACACACACACACACACACACAGTGAACCCTTGACATAACCTTAACATCTGGAGGTCCGGCTTTTTTCATTTGGGCTAAAACAGTAGAGTTGGTTACAAATGGTGACAGGAAATAGTTTGACTGTTGGTTGGTCACGTGATCGTAGTAAGAAAGAAGTGTTTAATATCGTCCAGAGTCAATAAAGTGTTGAAAAACAGTGATATAACGTTGAGGTGTACAAGAAACAGGTGTGGAAGCAATGAATGAACATAATCATCCAAGTGATTACCAAAAATATGAATCAAAACAACTTAAGAGTGCAAATGAAAACATGTGCAATCTTCAGAATTTCACTGAGAATCTGTTTGAGCCAACCCCCCCCCCCCCCCCCCTCCAAAAAAAAAAACTCCCCCTTTGTACAGAGCGTAGACGAAAATTTCCGGTACTAAGAGTCGTCGAGATGTCCATGAGTGTCGCGGTAAAACATGTAAAAAACAAATAAATTGACGAGCAAAAATGAATAATTATGTTGTCCACTTTCAGTAAATAGGAATACGTGGAAGACATATTTTCTGTATTTTTATTTTCCACTTATTTCTATATAAGTAAACTGTATCCATCAAGTTAATATTCGCCAAAATAAAGTGTATGAGTCGCCTAAATGAAGAAGAAATTGTCGTCAAATTAAGTTATTTTTTGCCCCCAAATGATTTTTTTTCTCGCCTAAATGAAAGATTTATTTTATTATTTTTTTTTTCACCCAAAGGAAACACACCCGAGGACACGTGACCTTTCTGAGGGGCATAACTAACCTGACCTCACAGGCCTTAGTATTTTAAAACTCTTTTGATCTAAATTCTTTATCTGGATTTTCTGAGCGAGAACAATTAATTTCCTGCTAATTTATGTAGATTGTAGATCACTAGCTGACGCAGAGAAACGTATTGGGTTTTCCGTCGCATAAATTTACCAGCTTTTCATTGACCTGTTTAACTCAACGCAGCAACAAATTAAACTTATGGTGATAAATGCTTGGATAATCATGTTGTGGTAGATGCCGTGACTGGGTTGTATTAAGCTTCTCAGATTCACCTGTTAACGATTTTACTGAAATTTAGGTGTACGGCGTTCTTGCTTTGTGCTGTTATGGCTTGGATGGTGGTATTACTGTGTGTGTGTGTGTGTGTGTGTGTGTGTGTGTGTGTGTGTGTGTGTGAGCAGCCTGAGACACTGTTCTAAGGATCCATTATTTATTTGCTTGAAAATCTAAAAAAAAATCCTTGTTGCAACCTTTTTATCATATTTAAATGTCATTATATTTTATTAGCCATTAACCATTACCAACAAGTTTCATGACATATATTTAATTTACACTATATCTGACTATCACACTTTCATCCTTATTACTATGTGGCTGTTGTTACGTAGTGAACTGTAAACTTTAATTTAATTTATTCACAAAATACTCTCTCTTACACATTACCATCAGCGAACTCCAGTGCTGGTAGAGAGCTGTGTTAAAACTCTGCTTGCCTGAATATTGGACGCAACTTATCAACAATGGTTCAGAAACGTCGAGAAGAAATTGGACTCATGACCGTCGCGTGTGCTTAGTGTTGGTCCATCGCTGAAGGGCTTACTGGACCCCCACACGCACATTTTAACGTGTTCCCAAGAGCATTCGACACGCGGAAAGATTCACAACATTGTGATTGTCACATCTTAAAGTCAAAATTATATTAAAACAATACTATTTCGAGGACCAGTGACATCATCTTATGGTGTGAGTACCAGAGTGATGACCAATGACGTCATCTTATGGTGTGAGTACCAGACTGATGACCAGTGACGTCATCTTATGGTGTGAGTACCAGACTGATGACCAGTGACGTCATCTTATGGTGTGAGTACCAGAGTGATGACCAATGACGTCATCTTATGGTGTGTACCAGAGTGATGATCAGTGACGTCATCTTACACCTCCTCAAAAGTGTACGGTGTTAACCCATTATTTTCTTGTTCTCTACGTCAAGACCTATGGAAAAAAAGTAAGTGACAAGCCCAGATCCAGTTAGGTAACCCATACAGCTCCTTTCAAACATTATTCACACTACCTTTATATTAACGCATCTATGTAAATATTTAAATATGCATTATATCCTCTGGAAACATGATCTTGGTGTCTAAATTAGGGTTACTGACCATAGAAAATCGATTGGCGGTATTCGACATAGCTTCCTCATCCGGCTAACAGCAAGTACCTGCTACACGTGTTCATAAAAAGTTGCCAAATCGCCACAAACAGCAGTGACTCCGTTAGTTTTGTCATCTGGGCCTGACAGTCACTTGTTTCCAACGTGACGAATTTTGCTGTAGAATGTTTGGTCACTTATCATTGTAACATACCGGCGCTGTGACTGGATCCTATCTCCCTCAGTCATCCACCCCGACGCTGTGACTAGTTCCTATCTCCCTCAGTCATCCACCCCGACGCTGTGACTAGTTCCTATCTCCCTCAGTCATCCACCCCAACGCTGTGACTTGTTCCTATCTCCCTCAGTCATCCACCCCGACGCTGTGACTAGTTCCTATCTTCCTCAGTCATCCACCCCGACGCTGTGACTAGTTCCTATCTCCCTCAGTCATCCACCCCGGAGCTGTGACTGGATTTACCATCGTATAACCACCAACTTACTCATAAATCCACCTGACTGTAATATAAGATAACTTCACTGTTTATTTTATTAACTAAACTCTACTAATAACAAAAAAATAATAATATGGAAGATATAACTTTTTTCCCTGATTTTTTTTTTCTGCCTCGGATAAATATTTCGTAGTTATCAAATAATTAAAAACTTTCAAGTCTGGTGAATATCTAGATGGGAAAAAGAAACACTGATTAGATAGTAGGTCTCTCTGTCTGTCTGTCTGTCTGTCTGTCTGTCTGTCTGTCTGTCTGTCTGTCTGTCTGTCTGTCTTATCTTTCTTTTACTTCAACTTTTGTGTCGACTAGATCAAAGGAAAGAGCAGTTTTAAGAAATGACGGAGGAGAAGGGAAGGTGTGTGGGGGGGAGGGAGAGGGGTAGGGATGGAAGGTGTGTAGGGTGGAGGGGGGAGTTATTGGAGAGTTGTGTACTATGTATAAAAAAAGAGACATGAATAAGTTGAAAAATGAAGATGACATAACACACACACACACACACACACACACACACACACACACCGAGTGACAATGAACAAGCCCCAGGAGACAGACAGACAGACAGAGAGACAGACAGACAGACAGACAACGTGGTAAGTAACGTTCTGACAAAAGTCTCCCCCCAAAAATAAAGAATGATGAGCAAATTGAATTTCCTTCGATACATAGAGAAAACGTGAATCAGTTCAAAGAATCAGAGGAAAAACTGATTTATAGAGATTGGAACACCTGTGAAAATTAGTTACAGGTACAAGGAAGATATAATACTACGAACTAATTAAAAACAGGTAAAAGATTAATTCATTTTCTTCCTAAACTTGTGAAAAAACTTAATGAACACTTTGATGAAGGTGTGTGTGTGTGTGTGTGTGTGTGTGTGTGTGTGTGTGTGTGTGTTCAGGACATAGCAGACGACCAGAGACTCACACCTCTACAAAAACATTTCCAACAAGACTAAAAAATAAACCAATTAATGAACCTCACATAAATTAAAGTACCAGTTTACTTTACCTAACCTAACCTAACCTAACCAAACCATTTGTGCACAGGAGGATGGCGAACACAATTTAGAATCAAAGAGTTTAAAGATTTCGTCATATTTTCACCCAATTTTAAGGTGTATCCTCATTATATTACAAGAGTCTACACCCTATAAGTTTACCTCGTATACAACCCGAGCAATTTACTTCAAGAATATCCATCTGCTAGGATATACAGGGTGTCCAAAAATGTTTACCCTGATTAAAACATTAGAGCATTTATGGACACCCTGTAGT